TCTTTCTGCGCATTCTAACGCAGATCAACCTGGACATTGCCGACCGGGATATTCCGCGGACCAATAAGGTTTGTTCTTGGTTGAGGAGGTTTTGAGTAGCAATTTTTTTTTCTAAAATCCCTTATAACAGGANCAACCTGGACATTGCCGACCGGGACATTCCGCGGACCAATAAGGTTTGTTCTTGGTTGAGGAGGTTTTAAGAAACCATTTTTACTAAAATCCCTTATAACAGGAAATGCAAAGAAACACTGTGATCCGGGACGCGATGCGGGAAACTTGCCTGCTCGATTTGGCGCAATTTTGGCTGCACATAATCGTAAGTGCAAATGCTGCCCTTTGTTTACCTTTTGTTTACCAATTTCTACTTCCTCATCACAACAATAGAACACCTACCGGGAGACCTCTCCGCCCACCGTCTGCCTCTGCCTGGACGTGATCGGCGCCTACGTCTCCTGGATCGACATCAACCTCATCACCAATGACTCCGTCATGAGCAACCTCTTCAGCCTCTTCACCTCGGAGCTCTTCCGGGCGGCCGTCACCGACTGCTTCAACGCCATTCTCCGCAAGGGCATGGACCCCTTTGCGAAGACGGCCATCATCGAGAACTTCATCAGCATTGACTTCATCAAGGCGACGCTGCGGGAGGTCTTCGTCCAGCCGACCACCACCGAGGACAGCCTGGAGTTTGTCTCCAAGTTTGCCCAGCTGATTAACACCATCGGCACCGAACTGATTGAGGCCTATCGGAAGGTGAAGGGCAAGACTGGCGGCGGAAGTTCTGGTACTTCATCTTCAGTTTCAACTTCAGCAGTGACCAGCAATGGCAGCGAAGTCCAGGCGCTCTCCGTCATCTCCGCCGCCATTGAGGGCAAGTTTTCGCTGCTCTGCCAGTGCCTGGCGCACGCAGAGCTGGCCGTCGCCCAGCGGGTGCACTCCTTTGCCCGCGACTACATTCAGTGGATCAAGAAGGAGAGCGAAAAAGATGGCGGCGTTCTGGGCGAAAACAACAACAACAGCCAAGCCGGAGAGCTTCTCAATGAGAAGACGGCCATTCTCCTCTCGATTATAATCGAAAAGAGCAAGTACCCTCTCGCGGTGAGTGATCTTCTCCTCCTCAGCAGCAGCGACCTCAACAACGAGTCACACGGCGGCGGCAGTGAGACGACCGAGTTCTTTGAGNGCGACCTCAACAACGAGCCACATGGCGGCAGTGAAACAACCGAGTTTTTTGAGGAGTTTCGCAAGTCCACCAAGGTCCTCTTTGACAACCTCCTGCTGCTGAACCCGGCCACCACGGTGGCCTTTGTCTGCGACAAGATCGTCGCGCCGACGCTGCTCAACTGGAAGAGCCGCTCGCTGCCCTTTGCCGACATTGAGGTGGCCCTCTACTACTTTTACCTGCTGGGCGAGAATATAAACCAGATTGGAGGTGGTGGCGGAGGTGGTGGCGGAGGCAATCCACTGACCGGCGGAAGCATCGACGCAAAGCAGCTCGAGTCGCTGGTGCAGCTGCTCGTCTCCAGTTCAATCTCCGCCTACCCGAACCCGGTGACGCAGGCCTTCTACTTTGACCTGGTCTTTCGCTACGCCTCGCTGCTCAACTCATCGTTGAGCTACCTCTCCTCGGCCATACTGATCTCCTTTCTCGATGAGCGGGGCCTGCGCAACTCTAACCGCCGCATTCGCAGCAAAGTGGCTCGACTCTTTAACAAGTTCATCAAGTCGTACATAAGGGCGAACAAGGGTCAGGAGAAGCCGACCACGGCCACCGCCTTCACCGAGGACATTCTCAAGCGGCTGCAGGACTTTCTGAAGC